AGCTGATCGATGTTTCTCTCTCATTGATGTTTCTAACTCTCTATCCCTCTCCTTTCCTCTCTGTAAAAAAAAATCAATAAAATATATTTTTTAAAAAATGGAACTTGGGACCTTTCAAGCCGCAGGCCGGTGTTCTATCCACTGAGCCAAACCAGCTAAGGCTCTATTTCCCTTTCTGATTATCAATTACACTTGGATGGAGTGCACAATATTTTAGGATACAGATGAAGAAGCTACAAAGGCACTTAATATAATAATTCTCCTTACTTTAAAAAACAATGATTTCGTCTGGCCAATGTGGCTCAGTGATTGAGCATCGACCCATGAACCAAGAGATTGCCTGTTCGATTCCTGGTCAGGACACATGCCTGGGTTGCAGGCTCAATCCCCAGAATGGGTTGTGCAGGAGGCAGCTGATCAATGGTTCTCTTTCATCAATGTTTCTATCTCTCTATTCCTCTCTCTCTAAAAAATCAATGAAAACATGCTTTAAAAAACAAACAAACAAAAAACTCAATAATTTTTTTCTATAGTGTCTTTAGAGAACAGTGTAAAAGTTAAAATCTATGATCAATTTGTAGATATTTGACATCTTTAGTATATTGAGTCTTCTTATTCATGAACATGGTCTGTCCTTTATCCAAATGAAGTTTTCTATTATCAACATAAGTGTATTGTATATAATTTATTAGAATTATTCACAACTACTATATATATATGTGTGTGTGTGTTATTGTAAGTAAACTGTAAGTTGTATTTTTAAAATCCCTTATTGTTTATAGAAAGAAACTTATTGTTATTATTTATTTTTATTGTTGAGAGTATTACAGATATTCCCCATCTTTTCCCCTTTGCCCCTCTCCACCAGGCTCCCGCCCCACCCAGCCCTTCACTGCACTATTGTCTGTGTCCATGAGTTATGCATATATGCATATAAATTCTTCGGTTAATCTCTTTCCACCCCCACCCTTTCCCTTCCCTCTGATATCTGTCAGTCTGTTCCATGCTTCCACGTCTCTGGATCTATTTTGTTCATCACTTTACTTTGTTCATTCTATTCTACATATGAGTGATACGTGTCTTTCCCTGACTAGCTTATTTCACTTAGCAAAATAATCTCCAACTCCATCCATGCTGTCTCAAAGGGTAAGAGATCTTTCTTTTTTATAGCTGCATAGTATTCCATTGAATAAATGTACCACAGTTTTTTTATATTGACCTTGTACCTGGCAACCTTGCTAAACTCTTTTAGCATGCACTAATAGTTCATAGCTTAAAAAGTTTTCTGTAGCCGAAACCGGTTTGGCTCAGTGGATAGAGCGTCGGCCTGTGGACTGGAGGGTCCCAGGTTCGATTCCAGTCAGGGGCATGTGCCTGGGTTGTGGGCACATCCCCAGGAGGAGATGTGTAGGAGGCAGCTGATCGATGTTTCTCTCTCATCGATGTTTCTGGCTATCTCTCTCCCTTTCTCTCTGTAAAAAATCAATAAAATATATTTTAAAAAAAGTTTTCTGTAAATGAAAACGTTTGCTGATTACTTTTCTTTTTCCCCCTTTTATTGTATTGTTTTAAATAGGAGTGGAGAGATTGTGCATCTGAGTTTGCTTAGCTGGGGAGTTAAGACAATTTTTATATTCTTATCTTTCCTCCTTTCTTATCTACTATTTTCACCTAACAGTATATATCTTATGTTTCTGATTTTATTTTTTACTTATTTTTTAAAAATATTTTTTATTGCCCTAGCTGGTTTGGCTCAGTGGATACAGCATCAGCCTGTGGACTGAAGGGTCCTGAGTTTGATTCTGGTCAAGGGCACATGCCCGGGTTGCAGGCTCGATCCCTAGCAGGGGGTGTGCAGGAGGCAGCTGATCAATGATTCTCTCTCATCATTGATGCTTCTATCACTCTCTCCCTCTCTCTTCCTCTCTGAAATCAATTAAATATATATATTTAAACCTTGGGCTCATCCTTGGATCCTCTTTTTTTAAATTTCATTTTTAAGATATATATATTTCTTTATTTATTGATTAAGTTATTACATATGTGTCCTTATCCCCTCATTGGCCTCCCCACCCCACTCATGCCCTCACCCCCCTGGTGTCTGTGTCCATTGGTTATGCTTATATACATGCACACAAGTTCTTTGGTAGAACTCTCCCCCTTACCCTCACCCTCCCCTGCCTTCCCTCTGATAATATATATATA